AGTACACTTTTCTTTGTTTCTCTTGCTTCAAGTCTCTTCTTCATCTGTGAGGAGATTGTCCAGCATTCACTGCCATATAGGAGGACTGATATTACATTACACTTCAGTACTCTTTTCTTTGTTTCTATTGCTTCAAGTCTCTTCTTCATCTGTGAGGAGATTGTCCAGCATTCACTGCCATATAGGAGGACTGATATTACATAACAGTTCAGTACTCTTTTCTTTGTTTCTCTTGCTACAAGTCCCTTCTTCATCTGTGAGGAGATTGTCCAGCATTCACTGCCATATAGGAGGACTGATATTACATAACAGTTCAGTACACTTTTCTTTGTTTCTCTTGCTTCATGTCTCTTCTTCATCTGTGAGGAGATTGTCCAGCATTCACTGCCATATGGGAAGACTGATATTACATAACAGTTCAGTACTCTTTTCTTTGTTTCTCTTGCTTCAAGTCTCTTCTTCATCTGTGAGGAGATTGTCCAGCATTCACTACCATATAGGAGGACTGATATTATATAACAGTTCAGTACTCTTTTCTTTGTTTCTCTTGCTTCAAGTCTCTTCTTCATCTGTGAGGAGATTGTCCAGCATTCACTGCCATATAGGAGGACTGATATTACATAACAGTTCAGTACTCTTTTCTTTTTTTCTCTTGCTTCAAGTCTCTTCTTCACCTGTGAAGAGATTGTCCAGCATTCACTGCCATATAGGAGGACTGATATTGCATAACAGTTCAGTACTCTTTTCTTTGTTTCTCTTGCTACAAGTCTCTTCTTCATCTGTGAGGAGATTGTCCAGCATTCACTGCCATATAGGAGGACTGATATTACATAACAGTTCAGTACTCTTTTCTTTGTTTCTCTTGCTACAAGTCTCTTCTTCATCTGTGAGGAGATTGTCCAGCATTCACTGCCATATAGGAGGACTGATATTACATAACAGTTCAGTAATCTTTTCTTTGTTTCTCTTGCTTCAAGTCTCTTCTTCATCTGTGAGGAGATTGTCCAGCATTCACTGCCATATAGGAGGACTGATATTACATAACAGTTCAGTACTCTTTTCTTTGTTTCTCTTGCTTCAAGTCTCTTCTTCATCTGTGAGGAGATTGTCCAGCATTCACTGCCATATAGGAGGACTGATATTACATAACAGTTCAGTACTCTTTTCTTTGTTTCTCTTGCTTCAAGTCTCTTCTTCATCTGTGAGGAGATTGTCCAGCATTCACTGCCATATAGGAGGACTGATATTACATAACATTTCAGTACTCTTTTCTTTGTTTCTCTTGCTTCAAGTCTCTTCTTCATCTGTGAGGAGATTGTCCAGCATTCACTGCCATATAGAAGGACTGATATTACATAACAGTTCAGTACTCTTTTCTTTGTTTCTCTTGCTTCAAGTCTCTTCTTCATCTGTGAGGAGATTGTCCAGCATTCACTGCCATATAGGAGGACTGATATTACATAACAGTTCAGTACTCTTTTCTTTGTTTCTCTTGCTTCAAGTCTCTTCTTCATCTGTGAGGAGATTGTCCAGCATTCACTGCCATATAGGAGGACTGATATTACATAACAGATCAGTACACTTTTCTTTGTTTCTCTTGCTTCAAGTCTCTTCTTCATCTGTGAGGAGATTGTCCAGTATTCACTGCCATATAGGAGGACTGATATTACATAACAGTTCAGTACTCTTTTCTTTGTTTCTCTTGCTTCAAGTCTCTTCTTCATCTGTGAGGAGATTGTCCAGCATTCACTGCCATATAGAAGGACTGATATTATATAACAGTTCAGTACTCTTTTCTTTGTTTCTCTTGCTTCAAGTCTCTTCTTCATCTGTGAGGAGATTGTCCAGCATTCACTGCCATATATGAGGACTGATATTACATAACATTTCAGTACTCTTTTCTTTGTTTCTCTTGCTTCAAGTCTCTTCTTCATCTGTGAGGAGATTGTCCAGTATTCACTGCCATATAGGAGGACTGATATTACATAACATTTCAGTACTCTTTTCTTTGTTTCTCTTGCTTCAAGTCTCTTCTTCATCTGTGAGGAGATTGTCCAGCATTCACTGCCATATAGAAGGACTGATATTATATAACAGTTCAGTACTCTTTTCTTTGTTTCTCTTGCTTCAAGTCTCTTCTTCATCTGTGAGGAGTTTGTCCAGCATTCACTGCCATATAGGAGGACTGATATTACATAACAGTTCAGTACTCTTTTCTTTGTTTCTCTTGCTTCAAGTCTCTTCTTCATCTGTGAGGAGATTGTCCAGTATTCACTGCCATATAGGAGGACTGATATTACATAACAGTTCAGTACTCTTTTCTTTGTTTCTCTTGCTTCAAGTCCCTTCTTCATCTGTGAGGAGATTGTCCAGCATTCACTGCCATATAGGAGGACTGATATTACATAACAGATCAGTACTCTTTTCTTTGTTTCTCTTGCTTCAAGTCTCTTCTTCATCTGTGAGGAGATTGTCCAGCATTCACTGCCATATAGGAGGACTGATATTACATAACAGATCAGTACTCTTTTCTTTGTTTCTCTTGCTTCAAGTCTCTTCTTCATCTGTGAGGAGATTGTCCAGCATTCACTGCCATATAGGAGGACTGATATTACATAACAGATCAGTACACTTTTCTTTGTTTCTCTTGCTTCAAGTCTCTTCTTCATCTGTGAGGAGATTGTCCAGCATTCACTGCCATATAGGAGGACTGATATTACATAACAGTTCAGTACTCTTTTCTTTGTTTCTCTTGCTTCAAGTCTCTTCTTCATCTGTGAGGAGATTGTCCAGCATTCACTGCCATATAGGAGGACTGATATTACATAACAGTTCAGTACTCTTTTCTTTGTTTCTCTTGCTTCAAGTCTCTTCTTCATCTGTGAGGAGATTGTCCAGCATTCACTGCCATATAGGAGGACTGATATTACATAACAGTTCAGTACTCTTTTTCTTTGTTTCTCTTGCTTCAAGTCTCTTCTTCATCTGTGAGGAGATTGTCCAGCATTCACTGCCATATAGGAGGACTGATATTACATAACATTTCAGTACTCTTTTCTTTGTTTCTCTTGCTTCATGTCTCTTCTTCATCTGTGAGGAGATTGTCCAGCATTCACTGCCATATAGGAGGAATGATATTACATAACAGTTCAGTACTCTTTCTTTTGTTTCTCTTGCTTCATGTCTCTTCTTCATCTGTGAGGAGATTGTCCAGCATTCACTGCCATATAGGAGGAATGATATTACATAACAGTTCAGTACTCTTTTCTTTGTTTCTCTTGCTTCATGTCTCTTCTTCATCTGTGAGGAGATTGTCCAGCATTCACTGCCATATAGGAGGACTGATATTACATAACAGTTCAGTACTCTTTTCTTTGTTTCTCTTGCTTCAAGTCTCTTCTTCATCTGTGAGGAGATTGTCCAGCATTCACTGCCATATAGGAGGACTGATATTACATAACAGTTCAGTACTCTTTTCTTTGTTTCTCTTGCTTCATGTCTCTTCTTCATCTGTGAGGAGATTGTCCAGCATTCACTGCCATATAGAAGGACTGATATTACATAACAGTTCAGTACTCTTTTCTTTGTTTCTCTTGCTTCAAGTCTCTTCTTCATCTGTGAGGAGATTGTCCAGCATTCACTGCCATATAGGAGGACTGATATTACATAACAGTTCAGTACTCTTTTCTTTGTTTCTCTTGCTTCAAGTCTCTTCTTCATCTGTGAGGAGATTGTCCAGCATTCACTGCCATATAGGAGGACTGATATTACATAACAGTTCAGTACTCTTTTCTTTGTTTCTCTTGCTTCATGTCTCTTCTTCATCTGTGAGGAGATTGTCCAGCATTCACTGCCATATAGGAGGACTGATATTACATAACAGTTCAGTACTCTTTTCTTTGTTTCTCTTGCTTCATGTCTCTTCTTCATCTGTGAGGAGATTGTCCAGCATTCACTGCCATATAGGAGGACTGATATTACATAAGAGTTCAGTACTCTTTTCTTTGTTTCTATTGCTTCAAGTCTCTTCTTCATCTGTGAGGAGATTGTCCAGCATTCACTGCCATATAGGAGGACTGATATTACATAACAGTTCAGTACACTTTTCTTTGTTTCTCTTGCTTCAAGTCTCTTCTTCATTTTTGAAGACGTTATGCTCAGGTGTAGAGGGTGTTGGGGCTAAATTTACAGGATCTAATTTTTATTTTTTCAAATTGGTTTGGAATATCTTTAAACAGTGAATGGCATTGTGACACCTTGTCACTACAGTTTTAGGAGTGTCAAAGTTAGCTGCCATGGACGAGTGGAATCTACCTGAATATTGGAAAAGGCTAACCTGCATTATGATGATTCTTGCCTGGCACCAAAATGCCGCAATCATGACAGCTGCTCTTTGAACACCGTTAAAACAATAAAACGTGATATGGATAGTTGCAACGGAGATCATGGCTAGTAGGAAATAACACAGCAGATGTTCTGATTGTCTTTGTAAACCAGAATTCATCCAACAACTGCAGGAGAAAGTGATGGAAAACCAAGGTAAGGGGATGCGGGTTTTGGCACGGGAAATAGGTGTTTGCACAATCCACCATGAAGCTGGCCTTGAATGAAAACCTCTGTTACTAGTCATACATGTGTAGAGGTCAACTTCTTATAGAAAAGGCTTGAGGAAAATCATCTGACAAATACAAAGAAACTCCTAACAAAATGAAAGCCAATAGACCTGATATTATCATAAAAAACAAGAATTTCAGAAACTTATTGCAGTACCATCTGAGAGAAACATTTTCCATGAAAATTATCGTTTTGTTTCAATTAATTTGCACAAGGGGGTACGGTATATCTTTTACAAGCCGTTTCTCTGCCCATTTTGGTTAATGAGTTAATAATAAGTGAATAAGTTTTAACCGCCTATTCTGTACCATTTTGCTCGTTTATTTTTGCTTATTACTGTTTCTTTTTTTTTTTTTCAACAGGTTTGGAATCAGGGCTCCACCAAGATGGAAGATATGACATCGCCGCTAGTCAAATGTGAAGAGGAATATCCACGGTATACCGACGACCACCCAATGGATATCCGAGCCATAAATACAACGGCCCTTGACGACGACTTAGACTCCCCGTCGGATATCATTCCGACCAACAGCGACAACTCGTTGGCACACTGTGGCGGCGGCGGCGGCGGCGGGGGCGGTAGCGGTACAAGCGGTGGGGCCAGCAAGAGTTTCGCCAACCTCGGCTTTCGACTGAGGGAGCGGAAACTGCTAATCGAGAAGAAACGCTGGATTGTTGACCTTGAGATGGGGCTGGCCCTGATCGGCATCGTGATCATGGTAGTGGACACCGAGTTGTACTTCCAGAGCTACTACACCATCGACTCACTGCCTTCTCAGTGGCTGAAGCTGATGGTATCCATCAGCACTGTCGTCCTTCTCTTTGTAGTTTGCATGTACTACATGGTCGGCGTGCAACTGCGCATGGTCGAGCTGGGTCTGCGATCCTGGCGCCTGGCTGTCAGCAAAGGTGTTGTTTTAAAATTGCTGATTGAGATTTCCATTTGTTGCATTCATCCCCTACCTGTTCACATCGGCACGCTTGAGTTAAAGGCTCCAGAGAAACCTGGAGTTGTCCATATAATCGAAGATCCATTGGCAGCCGTCCTGTCTATTCTCATGTTCATGAGGCTCTATCTGATTGCTCGCTTCATGGTCGTCCATAGCAATGTGTTGATTGACAGCGCCGTACAGAGTCTGGGTACCCTCAGCAGAGTCAATATCAACGCCCAATTCGTTTTCCGTGCCCTTATGTCGACCTGTCCCGGATTTGTGCTGAGCATTATTATGATGAGCGTATTTATGATCGGTTCCTGGACAATGCGAGCGTGCGAGACGCACTCAGCTCCCGGAAGCGACACGCATACAATCTCTCAAGCGATGTGGTTGACGGCGGTCACCTTCCTTACCCTCGGATATGGTGATCTAACGCCGAGTAGCCGCTGTGGACGGTTCATTGCAATCTGGACCGGACTTATGGGTGTGGGCATCACGGCCCTTTGTGTAGCCGTCCTAGCCCGTAAATTGGAACAGACACGACCGGAAAAGTACGTCCATACTTTTCTACGACGCATGCGCCTCGACCAGCGATACAAGAACGCAGCCTCCGACGTCCTGAAGCAGGCCCTAATGATCTGGCGTCTCAAGAGGGCAGGCATGCCGGAGTCTAACGCGCAGATAATGCACCATCGGCGGAAGCTGATCGACGCCACGGCGATCATGCGCAGCGCCAAGGAGGTAAGTGGAATGGTTAGAGAGAACACAGTCGGTATCATCGAGGTGGCAAACAGCGTCAACGAAATTTACAACCTGGTGAAGGGAATCAGGGACGAACAGAAACTCATACAGAATCGACTCACGTCACTTGAGATGCATGTCGTTGCTGTCAACAAGCAAATAGACAAGAATTTTAAATCGTGACTTGGCAAATGCACCCCACACCCCCCACCTCTACCCAAAAGGGTTCATCAAACAATTTCTTTTTTTTTTTAATTGTTGTTGTCGTTTGATGAGAGGAATATGGTAATCTCCCATTACAAAATATTTTTATCTTTGTTTTCGTTCTTAACAATACTAGTTTGGAACTACTTAACAATACTGGTCCCAGTAAGGAAGTTTTGTTTTTTGTTTTGTTTTTTTTTTTTTTAAATAATTTTTGTACAATAGCATACTTTAGACCTTCCTTAGATCGCAAAACTTGTCTGATTCGAAAATGTTGATTATTTTTTCATCATAGAAGGAGGGTCCTGGGTTCATAATAATGATACAGCGTAAAATTGATCCCTGACTTTTTACAGAGTTAACTGGACTTATCTCTTATTTACAAGTGTCAAATTTGAAAATAAGGTAACATTCCCTGACTTTTTACAGAGTTATCTGGACTTATCTCTTATTTACAAATGTCAAGTTTGAAAATAAGGTAACATTCCCTGACTTTTTACAGAGTTATCTGGACTTATCTCTTATTTACAAATGTCAAGTTTGAAAGTATGGCAACATTATTAAATATCTGTATATTTTTATTTATATTTATGAATTTTTTAACCTTTTTTTTTTACTCTTTAATATTTAAAAAAAAACTTTTTGCATGAGATTTTTGGGGGATGAACATGCACAAACACTTGAGGCTCAAAATTATTTATTTTAAATGGAGAATAAACAGATGCATCATTTTATTAATTTATGAAAAATGTTGTTCTTTAATTACAAATGTCTGCATCCGTTTGTTCTTTATTTAAAAATAATATTTTTGTTCCCCCCCCCAAAAAAAAGGTTTGTTTTCGTACGGAAACCGAGTAAGTTAAATAACTCTGTAAAAGATCGATTTGACAATGTATCGAAGAGAGAGCTGCCTTCTAAATTAATAAAATATATCAGTCGTTTTCGATTCTGACAATTGTCACGGCTTGGGAAGTTTCTAAAAAATGCTCATCTATAAAAATGATTCCCCCAAAATGCTCCCCATTTTCACGAGGGGGCCAGTCTATTTAAGTAGTGTCAGTAGATTGTATTAGACTAAAAGAATTTTCTTAAGCGGTGGCCATCAACAAACAACGGTTTCTTAATGTTTTATAAAATCCATTTTTCTTCTGGCTTTTTTTTTTTAACCCACTCTCATGTCATCGCGGTAACGACCATTGGTTGGTTGTTCACTCTAGCGTTATAATCTTTTATTAATTGAACCTAGTGGAGATAACCGACTGCGGTAACCAATGGTGTTGTTACCGCGGTAAATCATTTTTTTAGTAACTCACGTTGGAATCCAACTTTTAAAGAAATTTTATTGACAGAGAAAACACGCTGTGTCTTTTCCTAGAGGAACAGACACCGGGTGTGTCACTGACATGTTTCTATAGTCATCTATAGGAACCCCCGATAATGTCTTCTTTTTTACACCTGGTTAGCCAGTGTTAAGATAATTATACTTATCTTTACGATATAAATGTTTTGAAACAAATAATTCGATGGAATTGAATTTTACAACTCATCCCCTTTTTTCGGCAGTAAAGACATTTTATTATCCTTAATAAAATATATATATATATATATATGTTTGTATATATATATGTATGTATGTTCTCAGTTCAATAGCTGAAAAATAATACGCAGTGTGATAGATAAAAAAAAAAAACTACGCCTCTCCTTTTCCGAAAAAATAAGGATGATATTTTCCACTGCGGCAGTTACAAATTTGATTAAATCTTAGCAGTGAAATTTATATCAATAAGATATAAACAAACAAAATAAAAAAAATCAGCATTAATGTCTACAAACAGCATGCGAAAACATATGTAAGGGGCGTTTGTGAATAAATGGTAACGGTGCATGCGCGAATGAATGCCATATTAGCTGCGCATGCGCATTTCCGGAAATTATAAATATTCAATTATTAATCTTGCTAACATTCACTTATTTGGGATTCTTAACAAAACAGCGTTTTTTTTTTTTTTCTTTAAATCTTACTCCAAATATATTTGTGGACAAAAGCTTTGTTTTCTTTTAACGCTATTTTAAACAATAAATTGAAACGCTTAAGCATGATTAACTAAAAATGCATGGTCTTTTATTTTATAGATATTTTCATCCTTTCTCCTAGCCACACGTATATACCTCATTAAAACACTTTCGGTCATATGACTCTAATACAGGCATGGGCAAACTTGTTCGAGCAATGGACCGCATGATCTATGGCTCGTAACAAGGTGGGTTGCACTACTAAAAAGATACAAGGTTTTTTTCGTAGTAGGTGCCTCAGTAATTTTCAATACAGAAGACCATATGCGTAAGCGTATACTTTTTTTTTTCTTTCTTTTTTTTTTTGAGGGGGAAGATTTTTCGATAATTAAAAAATTGAAGTCTTAATATTATCGGATGACAGTGTGATTAGCACATGTGTAGTTTATTTCTAATTTATTCATTTTAATATATATATATATATATATATTTATTCTCGAGAGAAAAAATTATTATGAATATTTCCGGTTTCAAAAGCAAAAAATGTTTACACGTATGATCTTCCTTAGTGAAAATCGCCGATGATTTTAAATGATGAAAACGTTATTTTCACCAAAACAAACTCCAGAAACATTGTACTTAATTATTGTTTATGTATTCTGTTATGTATGAGAGAGTGTGTGAGTGAACAAGTGAGAACAAAATTTTAAGAAACCTTATTTCCCTTATTTAAAGTTAAGCGTAACATTCAATAAAAAAGACCAAACGGCAACTGTTTGCCCATGACTGGATATTGTCTACAATATTATACATTCGCTACTGATACAGGGTCGTAGCAGACAGGGGTTGATGAAAAATTTTAACAATTGTAGCATATTTTACAGGGTTTTATTTTACCAAAATATAATAAAGGAAGAAATACAAGAAAGAAAAAAATTATCAAAGCAACAAAGAATATAATTTTCATAAAACCCCGATGAAAGAATTCTTCTTTCAAGGTCTATGATAATGGTTAGTTTCCCTTTATCGTGTGGATGTTTTCGTTTTAATTTAGAATTGTGATGAGTGCAATAAAATAAAATAATATATAAGGATAAAAATGTACAAACAAATAGAAAAGAATGGAAAATACAGTGGAAGTTCGGTTCATGAATTTAATTCGTTCTTGAAGGCCGTTCGTAACCCGATATGTTCGTAAACCGAAACTATTTTTTCCAACAGGAATCAATGTAGAGAAAAAAAGTCACAGTACAATAAAATTGGAAAAAGAAAAGCACGGCACAACATACGAATGTATACAACATGGCGGTCGACTCAGAAATGATTCCGTTCGGGTAAACTCGGCTCGGTTCGGAAATGTAGTTCGAGAACCGAAATTCGATAACCGAATCATATCATCTCGAATTTTCTGTTCGAAAACCGATTTGTTCGACATGTGAGACGTTCGTGAACCGAGGTTGCTTTGTAAAACGAAAGCATTTGCTTTCCCTTAAAATCCTTAACTCCTTTTCTGTCTGTCACTCTCTTTCTCTCTCTGGCAAAGGCTGGGTAAGGATTTATCATCACTCAGTTGCGTTTTTGTCTTCGGGCAGAGTGGGAATCGGCTGCAATTCCGCCGGGGGACAGAGGCGAAATTGAGTAAAATCACACTGTGAGGTGCCTAGCCCTGGGGAACAGATACCCGAGGCTGTCTCTTCTCGTTCGTTACACCAGAGAGGAGGATCGGTGCTCGCACAAAGGTCAACGCAACCGACCATTGCGGGATTTTTTTTTTCTTGGGCCGAGTGTACGCGCTCGGGTTCCCCACATTAAACCCGACCTTATGTCACAATCCGTCTCAGTGTGGAGGCAAGGATGAATATATTCTACCAAATAGAAAGAGGAAGAAGACGAAAAGATTAACCCCGACCGAAAAATACCGGATATTGACAATCCAGCGACTTAATTATCGCTCCCCACCAAAAAAAAAAAATTGTCTCTGCTACGGCCCTGTAAAAGTAAAATTCACAAATAGTAATAGTTCAAACCCAATCACAACAAATATATCTTGATAAAAATCCATGCGATTAAAATATATTTTCGTATACACACATATAAATCCATCAACGCTTTCTCCCCCAAATACAAAATCGGGACAGTAAACATTTTAATGTTGACTTAAAACAGTGCTTCGTAAACTGGAGAATGATTTCACTCAAGACTGAATGGAATTATTTTCGGCTCGTATAAATCTAGAGGTTTGACCGACGGGCCAAATGAAAATTGGAAATTGAATGAATCCTGGAAGGCGAGTGAGTTTTTGAAGGACGCCTAGCAGACATAGTGCCTATCGTATAATAATTGTGCTTGTCCATCCCTTCGTTAGTTCTTTAGTTTACACGACCATTACACCCTGCCAATACCTAATAAATAACGGACTATTCCGTTTTGATCGCCTTTTGAAAGATAAAAGACATGTCAGAGAGGCTACTTGGTTTCAAAGAAAGAAAGAAAGAAAGAAAGAAAGAAAGAAAGAAAGAAAGAAAGAAAGAAGTGTTTAACGTCTCCTGCCAATACCGCATAAATAATGGACTATTCTGTTTTGATCGTGTGGGGAAAAAAACTACTTGGTTTCAGTGAAAGAAAGAAAGAAAGAAGGAAAGAAAGAAAGAAAGAAAGAAAGAAAGAAAGACGGGACGATAGAGGTGTTTACCTAATAAATAATGGACTATTCCCCTTTTTTTCGTGTAGAAAGAGGGAACAAGAGAGTTTGATTCAGTAAAAGAAAGAAAGAAAGAAAGAAAGAAAGAAAGAAAGAAAGAAAGAAAGAAAGAAGTGTTTAACGTCTTCTGCCAATACCTCATAAATAATGGACTATTCTGTTTTGTTCACATGGAAAGTGGGGAAAAGAAACTACTTGATTTCAGTGAGAAAAAAAAAGAAAGAAAGAATTAAAGAAAGAAAAAAAGAAAGAGAGAAAGAAAGAA